CGGCGCGGCGGTGGCGCGGGTGGGTGGCGGTAGGTCGCCTCGTAGGGGACAAAACTCACCCTAAGAAGCCTCTAAGAACGCCAAGGCGGCGGTGTCGCTGGTGGGGTATAAAAGTATCCGCATGCGCAAGCTCCTGAAAAAGTGCGGCCCGCCTCCGGCGCCGCCTCTACCGTCTCCGACATCCCTCCGGCGAGAACCCCCCTCGAGCCTCCGGAGTCCGCGGAGGGCCCCGAGATCTCTTTCACCCCCTGCGCGCCCTCGCCCCTCGCAAGACGTCGTCTGGAACGACCCGCGGCCTTTTTCGAGAATTGCCCCCCGGGTAACATGTGCTAACCGTGTGTGATTACCTCCGCTCGACAACGCGAGCGCGCACCCCCGCGCGCTTATCCTCTCACCCCTTTCGTCACCCCCTTCGCGGCAGCCGCGCGCCGTCGGTCCGTTCTCTCACTCTCTCTCTCTCGCGTCGATCCGCCGCGACCTTTTTTTGTGCCCGCGAAAATCGAAGTGCCGCGGCGAAACTGCCGGGAGAAATCACGACTAACGGCGCGCATCCGGTTGAAACGGGTTAATATCGCGCCCCGCAAGTGGAGCACCGGCAGGAAGTGACACCCGCGAGAGAAGCCCGCGACGACTGTGATTCCTCGCGAGCGGACGGCTAAATATCAGTGCTGTGGGGATGTAATCCGTGAAGAAGCAAGGGGAGATTATTGTGTGCGTGGGGGGCAGAGGTATCTCGGATCATCCCTCCGGTCGATCGGCCGGAATCTGTCCGACGGCTTTCCCAGCGTTCCCGAGATCGCACCGGTGAATGTTAAGCTGGAAATAATGGCTCTTTAAACATTTCTAGAAGCGTACGCGAATTTCAAACGTCGTTAAAATATCACGTTTGAACCGTTCGCCGGCGAGTATTAACATCTCTTTTTCGTGCGACTAACGATCGTGCTCGGTCGCGGCGGAACCATCTCGCAAATTTTTGGTTAAACCGTTTATCCGTTTGAATATCGTGCGCGCTTTTTACCGGTCCTCCCCCTTCTTCCCTCTCTCACTATCTCTCTTTTTTTTCGGCAACGCATAAGCTCCAATTATTCCTTGCCGGGTAACACGTCGTCGACAAATCCTGTCGATCTAATTGGTCACCAGCAGATAATTGTTCGGCGTTGATAATTGGTCCAATTAATTTGAACGGAAAAGTGCGTCGATAATCGTCGCGCATTCATCGATTCACCGATTATGTGAACCGTGTCGGATGCGGGTTATAGAATATCGTTACTGTCGAAAGGACATCGGCGAAAAAAATAGCCGAAACGCAAACAGAAACCAATCGTTTTGACTGGGCGCGGTGTAGTGAAGTTATTGAGTTTTTATTTTGTTGCAGCGCACATCGTGTGATTACAATGCTCGTTAACAGATATTGGAGGGCTATATTAGATTTAAACGCGTAGAACAAAATGAATGTAATGTTATAGACGTCCGAAGCCGTGATGACCTGCAAATCTTATTATCATCGGGAACATAGAAAATACACGAAACAGCGCGATATTTTCTGGCTCAGCTCTTGCTTTTTAATCGTCAACAGAGAGGCGTGTCCCGTCAAGCAGAGCCAACTATTACGACCGGAGTACGACCGCGGCCAAATCAGCTTGTTTCTTTGTTTATCACCGAGCTCTTTGAACCGCGCGGGGAAACTCGCAATTTCGCATTCGACGTGCTACTTCTTCAATCTTTCCGACACCACCATCTGCCCGCCAAGGATTAAATCGCTCCGGAGTTCCCTTGGCGTGCCAATCGCATTCGCTACATTCCCACCCTAATTCACTTTCTCTCTTCCCGCGAGACAAAAATTCAAAAATAATGTCGCCCAAGCCCCAAACATTTTTTTACGCCCTCGGCCGAAGGGTGAGGCTCTCGCCAAACGACGCCTCCCTTGATTCGGCACACAGGGCGCGTGCTGCGAAGACGCGACAAATTTCAATGCGACCTGCAACTCGTCCTCGAGCCCGTGTGTATTCGGTAACGTCGTAACATCGAGCTTCGATCAAGACTATCTCCCTTTCTCCCGTACCTCTCGTAAATCTTCGCGCGAGAAAACGACACGGAAGCTTCCGAATAATGAAATATAAGCGCCGGGGCCCCGAAATACTGGCGGATGTAATTGAAAGCGGGGGGAGAGACGTCATCGGGCGCGCAGTGAAAGAGCCCACGCATGACGAAATGCATCTCGGGAGGTCTGCGTTTAGGGACGCGGAGGCGTCGCATTGTTCCTCGTAGGGGTGTAGGATTATATAGGGGGCTCGTCGTCTCGCTTGGGGGTTCTACGCACGGCACTCGTACGACACAGATACCGCCATGATCGATAGTCCCGCGTAGTCTCTCGAAAGAGTGACGTGTTGCAATTCTTGCAAGTCGTGTCCCATTGTGCCCGAAGAGCTCCGTCGGCTGACTGCGGCGGCGGCCGTTTCCGTCGCGTGTGAGATCGCCGGCGACGGGGCAGAGACGCGATCTTCGCCGTCTAATTAACGAGCGAACGATAAGAGGAGGTCGCGTTGGACGGAACTTTCGGCGGGATAGCGTTCGCAGTCGCGCCGCTGTTTTCCGCGCTATTTTTACAATAGCTATTGTACGTATCTCCCCCCATCCCCCGCTGAATCTGGGGATGACTACTCGTACATTAGGGCGAAGAGTTTCTCCTCTTCTCTCAACCCGGCCGTCTTCGTCCCGACCGTGACGTTCTTCGCCCGCACCCTCACGAGAGAATCCCCCGTATTCCTCGGTGCTAAACGCAACTACACAAGGGGCCTTTCTGCCGTCTTTGTTTTCCCTTTCTTCCCAGTGTCGTTTCGCAGTCTCGCGCGGGGTGGTCGTTGAGCGACGGAAGCGGGAAGAAATCAGCCGGGAAGGGCGAAAAGCCGGCCGACAGACGCGAGAGAGTTCGCGCGGGAGAACCGTCGAAAATATTCGCCGCTTCCTTCCGCCCGTCCGATTAATTAGCGGAAACTGGCCGCACCGGCGGAGACGCGAACGAGATCGAGAGGGAGGAAGAGAGGCGTTTTTCCTCTCGTCCGCGGGAATGATCATAAACGCGAAGTCCATCGAATGTCCGAAGCTTCGTTTGCGCGTCGGTCGAGTGAATGGGGAACTAATTCGTAAGTAATTACAGAAGTGAAAATTTCCCGATTATCAGTGAACACGGCGCACGTACTACGTAAACTGTGCGCTCGGAGTGTAATTATGGCGGTGCGCACGGCGAAATGATAATGCGCGATGTGAAGAGTTCGCGATGTAATTCGAATTGTGCACGCTCGACGACATTCGCGACAGGTCGCGAACGAAGAAGCGGGATCGCGCTGCGCTGCGGTTCGCGCGACGCTGAGAGATCATCGCTCGTCCGGGGTGTCAATGATGCGGCGCGGCAAGACGCGCCGAGATTCATCTCCGGAAGCTCGTCACCCCCTGAACATCCCCCGTCGTCCGGCGCAACGACGACGGAGCCCGGAAGACGGTACACGAGGTTAGCGCAGTTCGCGCGAGTCGTCATCGGCGGGAGTATCGTCAGGAACGCGGCGACAGTCCCGCGGGCTTGTGCGCGCGGCGGTGAAGGGAGAAAGAAAGAGGGAGAGAGACGGGGCGAGATAACGGGAGAAAAAGAGAGCCGAGGGTGAGTGAGAGAGAGAGAGGGAGAGAGATTTTTCCCCACCGCTTGGAAAAACCAACCCCCCACCAGGTCGGGTACCGTGGGGGCAGGCGGCGGTGGCGGCGGCGTGGAAGAGGCGCGCGGAGGGCTGCGGGGCCGACGAAAAGAGGGGGGCGAGGAGGGTTACCCAGGGTGGTCTCGGTGGTGGCTGGGGGCGGCAGCCTCAAAAATACACCGCAACCACACCGCGCGGCTCCACCGCAGAAGCCGCCATCTTCCACCGCCGAACCGAAACGAGACCGCGCGAGTTAAACACCCTATCCTACCTCCTCGTAGAAGCTGCCCTGCCACCCCGGCGAAGCAACCGGCCAGGTGAAGAATCACCGTCGCCGCGACGACGACGGCGACTGTCACCCGACGAAGGATACGACGGCTTCTCGCGATCCCCGCGGCGGCAAAATTTGTCGGATCGGTATCGATGTGCGCGCACCGTGATCGACCGATCGCTGCCAGCCCCGGTGTTTCCGTTCGATTTCTCGCCGTTATCGATTACTGTTCTCTGTGATTGATCAAGACTTCGATCGCCGAGAGGGGGAGAGAGAGAGAGAGAGAGAGAGATACACGTGACAGACGCGCGGACAGAGTTCGACGGAACTTGGCGCGGTGAGCGCCGCGTATGCGAGGTCCGCGTTGGGATAAAAGAAGGGGGTGAGAAGAGAACTCTACGGTGCGGGATTTTAGTGAAAATATGTACCGACGCGAGGAAGAAAGTGCGCGAACGTGACGCGGACCGCCGGTGCGAGGCAGTGTTTTGAACGCGCGCGCGACAAGAGGAGCACCATCGGCGAGCATGTTTCCGCGAGGCGCAGCCGACTTCCGGAGCACGACGACGAGCGGATTTGAGTGTTCCGAGCGGCCACGAGTGTTCCTCCGTCGTTGATAAAAAGAAGACGACCGACTGCTCGATCAAAGAATCGCGGGAGCACGCGGAGAGAGGGTCGCCGAGATTGCCGCCGACGATTCCAATAAAACGAATTTTCTCCGCGAGTTGGCAATCGAGACGAAGAAGAATTTGCAAACGGATGCCCCCGCCGCTACCGAGCCCGCGACAGGATAATGAAATAAGGATCAAAGGAGCAGCCTAGGGTTCCGGCGGGGGGGCCGAAGAAGCCCACCGTGGAGAGAGAAATCGCGCACTCGATCTCCGAGGAAAACAAATCCAATTCCCGCCGGGAGGAAGAGAGCGATCGTAATGCGCTCCTCGCCATCGGCGAGACCGATTTACGCTCGTGAGCTCCTCAGACTGTCGCCGGATCTCGTCGATCATCGTTCACGCGCGTCGAACGTAGCGATCGATCTACGCGTGGGAGCTTCGCGGAATACCGCGGGAACTGCGAGAAACCGCTCGTGTGCAGTGGAATGAGATAAAGAGTACTGACGTGTCGACGGACCAAGCATCGTATCGAGATCGACGGATCGGGAATTGCACGATCCTCTCGCGTCGTCCAGGATCTTGGGGGGGGGGAACGACAAGACATAAACAATTGAGTCGAACTCCTCCGGGAAGCTCGCAGGGGAAGGTGACGTCTCGACCGAAGGTATCGATGACAACGCGCTCATGACGAATCCTTCGCGAGATGCTCGACCTGAGGATCGGCCTTCCGGCCTAGACTATCCTGATCCTAGGTCAGTGCGCGGCGCCCATCAGGCGAACCCGGTGAGCCAAATTGGCGGGCCCAGGATACGGAAAGGCCGGGCCTCAAGCTCGAGGAGAAGAATGCACCTGGCCAACGAGGTACCTCCTCAAGGCTCGGTCAGCGGAAATCACCTGCCCGATTATGCCCTCACCGCCGACTTGCTCGCCGAGAGAACGTTAGACGGACTGCTCGCCGAGCACCCGGGAGAACTTATTCGCACAGGTAAACCCGTACTCGGTAGTAACGCTCGCTGCAAAAGCAATCTCTTCGTACATGTTTATTTTTTATGTACTGTCAATGCTCCGATCGTGACGGATATCACGTTAGGGGAGACCGGGGCTGGTTCAGCTAAAGGGGTGTGTTGGTCGATTGATTATTTCTCTTGTTTTCTAACGAGTTGCAGATTCGAGCGAGTACACTGTGAGAGAAAATTACTTGGTATTTATAATTATAATCATCGCCGTAAAAGTATTATAGTTGGGGAAATCAATTCTCTAGAAAGTGTTGATATAGTGATAATAACCTGACACGCGTGTTGTTATTTTTATGATGAAAACTATAAAAAGGTTATATTTGGCATCGAGAATAACAATAATCTCTCGCAGTATAGTAATTTCACAGGCATCTTTGACATGTTTGAAATCCTTGCCCGCTCAATCTTGTAAGACGCTAGAAAATAGCGGAAATTGATTAGCAAATTTTTACCCCTTCCGCCAACTAGCCGTGGACTTTCTCTATATATAGAAGTTGGGATTTTAAACACACCTCTCTCTTTCGAAAATAAATAAATCTTTTGCAAATATATTCCTTAAATTACGAAGAAATTATTTTTCATTTAATTCGGTGCATGTGTAAAATCGACTTCCGGTCCTGTCAAATTAATTGTTCGGATAAAAGTTAGCCGTTCTAACAAAGAAAAATGTTTGAATTTCTATGGAGAATATAATTGTTTTATATTGATATAAGGTTGCCCGCATGTGGTCTGCACGGTATTGCCGTCGCACTGGAGATCGAACAAGACCCTACCTGTAGCCTTCAAGGTGGTAGCTCTCGGCGAGGTCGGGGACGGTACCCTCGTGACAGTGCGCGCCGGGAATGACGAAAATTGTTGCGCGGAATTGCGAAATTCTACCGCCTTAATGAAAAACCAGGTCGCCAAATTCAATGATCTCAGGTTCGTCGGCAGGAGCGGCAGAGGTGAGTTTTGTCAGCTGCACTTCCCTCCACCTCCTACTCCATCGCGCGTAATAGCGTAAAATCGTAACGAATGAGATAATGATTAATTTGTCGTCGTCACGGTTACCTCCTTTTAACATCGGTATGACGGAACGCATTCTCTCTCGCTAAGACAGCACTAGAGAGAGCACTCGAAATATGACGGTCCAATTACTCGCGATGCGGCCTTCCCTCTCCTTATCTTTGTTTCTTTTTATTCGCTCCACCGAAATAACTTCCATCGGGTGACGCTGGCAGCTCGATCGGTTTTTCCGCGTTTGCCTCCTTGCAACGCGCGGCCCCTTAAATCATTCAGACTACGCTACATTAAGGTGGTGCCCCGACTGATGGCCTCGTTTTTCCCGCGTCGAAAGCCAAGCACGGACCACCACCTGGCCCCTCGTTCCGTCCTCATTTTTAATTCACGCGACAAATACCGTGACCCGGTATCTCTTGCGACTACCGTCCGCCCACGACGGAGTAAGGGGCGCGCGCGGAGATTTTTTAATTCCCAGCTCCGCGTTTCAATAATTCAGCCGTTCCTTTCGTGCGAAAAGGAGCCACGCAGGGAGGGCGAGGGGCGAAAAAAATTGGGGTCTGAGACCTCTGAATAATGCTCCCTAATAATCGCTGCCATTACGAACGGTTAATGCAAACGTTCGTTCCTCGAGGAAGAGCCGAAGAGGTAGGGGAGAGGCGGCACGAGAGGGCCTAGATCGGGCAGGAAAGGAGCAAAGTTTCCAGCATCCTTTTTTTATCCTCTCTCTCACTCTCTCTCGCTCAATCTCGCTCTCGTTCTCTCCCCCTTTCTACGCGCAGGAGTCGAGGTAGGGAATCGGAAGATACGAGTAACGAGGCGTCCTTTAATTCCTTTAATTCGACCGAGTTGCACCACCGTCCTCTTCGTCCGCCTTCTTCTGTCGCTCTCCCTTTCCTCGTCCTGCCCGACGACGTCGAACTTTCGAGAGAGAGCAGTCACGGGCGTTCCCCGGTTAACGAGGGGGTGGTCGACTTGTTTATGGCAAATTGGAAAAGGAAATTGCGGGGTTTGCGATATCGGCGGGTTCCGCGCGCTACTTTCGACGGTCGACGGTAAACCCTAAACCGGCGCGCTCCTCTTCTCTCTCTCTCTATCTCGCCGCGGATTCGGTTGATTTATTTCGACAATCATTTCCGATCGGAGTCGGGAACGCCGGCGCGTTCATCGGCAATAATTTCGTCGCCGTATTTCTGTCCGAGTATCGACGTCGACTTATGAACATCGGCGTTTCAGCACACGGTCTGTCCCGTCCGCATGTTGGCCTCTTCCACTCGAGAAATGAAGAGAGATCCGAGATATTCTCGTCGCGGAACAATAGAGGCCGGAGAACGGTTTCCGGAATTTTTAGCGGGACTCGCGAATGAGGATATCGCGGATATATAGGAAATCGTGGGATGGTACGGCGAAGCGCGCGAGCGAGAGGGACAGAGTACGTGCGGGGGGGAGGGGGAGTATAGGAGGAGGTAGAGTGGTTGGCTGTAAGCGGCTTTGGTTTCCATGGCAGTAAGCCCTCATTACTGTATTACGGGCAGCCCCTAACTACCACCGGTATGCAACGATTTGCCTCTAGATTCTCCACATGAGAGTGACGCAAGATCGTTCCGCGCTGCGTATCGCGCGATCGCCGGAGATTTTTCTTTCCGCACGTCTGACGCCGGCGAATTTTCGCGTCGAGATAAACTCGAATCTCGTCCATCGAGGCGAAACGTACCGGGTGGAAATTAAATACGCGCGCCGCGACAGTGCGACGGAAGCGGTGAGAAGAAGAGAAAGGGAGGGAGAGAGAGAGAGAAGAACAGAGACAAATGCGAAATTGAAAGAAAAAGCAAAACAAAATGAATACGCGCTACGTAAAGGCTAAATGCATGACAGGTGATCGTTATTACCTACGGAAGAAACGGCAAACACGAATCCCGTTGAATAAATTGAAAATTTATGATGTTTGTCGGCGAGTCACGTAGCGCGTATCGCTGCATAATACCGCCGAGGCGAGGAGCCGAATGCATTTTATATACAGATTCCTCACGCGTTCCACTCGCTTTTTTGACCCTGTTGTTTTGCACGCATCCCACGCGCGCGAACGAGCGAGCGAGCGCGGTCCCGCGCACGCGCGCGCGCTTCCGACTTTTTCGGCTGCAAATATTTGTCTCGCGCTCGCCCGCGGGCTTTGTCAGACCAATTTAATATTGCGAATGCGGACGAGGAGAATTGGCCGTGGTCGAGATGCGTGACGACGTTGACGGGGCGACCCGTTGATTCGCCGCCCGGCACGAAGAAAACGAAAGAGAGCGCGCTGCTCTCTCCCGTCCGATTGCCGGACACCGATCTTTTGCGTGTGGGTTCGCTTGCAAAATCCGCCGATGTTCGCGAGAAATCGGACGGGTGGAACGGAGAATTCTCATATCTCGATATTCGAATTGTATCGCACGGAGCGGCGCGTCAAATATTGGAGTGTTCGTAATTATTTTGCCGCGATGTACGGATACGCTCTTTTTCGCGAACGCGTAATGACGGTTGTTGTCGGGAGTTTTGCGGAAATTTATCAAATTGTACGCGGATTCGTTGGTTCGGGGGATAAGTTATTTCGCAAGGCTGAAAACAGAAAATCACCTGAGAAGAAGCAGGAAGAACGACGACGACGAGTATTTTGATTGAACATACTGTGACTGAAAGAAATGCACGGAAAAAAAGAATTAGCTCCGGCAGCTAAAAACTAGCTGCCTGTGTAATACGAATGAAATTTAATTACCAGACCTAGTTTTCAGTCGCGGGAACTGATTCTTTCTTTCATATACGACCATAGTCATAGCTGTGTACGACTGTAGTCATTAGAATCGGCTCCCACAGCTAAAAACTACACTTGTTAACCTCGTGTCGCAAAATTGGGAAATACACGTTGAAATAAAAACCTTACGTAATTACGAGAGACATTTCGAGGTTAGCGCTTGGAATTTGAAGATCAGCACCTCGAAATGTCCCTCGTCATTACGAAAAAGTTTGTATTTCAACGTATACTTTCTAATTTGGATGTCACAAAGTTGACAGTGGTAGGTCAAGTAGTGAAATTTCAGTAATATGTGAATGGCTAAAAATCCAAGGAACCCATTCGCTCCAACAATAATACACGGCCGCGCGTCTCGTACCCGCTGAGATACGGCTTGTTGTCCGCTTTCTCGCGGACAATAGTCAATTGTTACCCGAGGAATGCTGATTTCCTCGCGGACGGACGAGGTCGCGCCCCGGGGGAAAACTTGGACGCGGAGAGACTCGAGACCGGCGCGAGCGTGTGTTTCTTTTTTGCCTCCCCGGCGATTCGCTCTCTCCGACCCTTTTTAATCGACTATAATCGCTTTCATTCGGTCTTACGCGCTGACCTAAAAGAGGGATCCTCTCCTCTGCTGCGTGGTGTGCGGCTGCAGTGTAACGACTACGCGCGGCGGCCAGGGGCTACGGGGGGCGCCGGCGGAATATTATCATACCGGCGCAGGGGCGTATATCACTCGGCCACCCCTTTCGCTCCCGACAGGGATTAGCGTCAACCTCCGACTGCTAGGAGTCACGGGCCGTACGGAGACGCGGCTATATATGCGTGTTTCTCTGCTGCCCGTGCGTGTGTTGGCGCGCGCGAGCGAGAGAGAGAATACAGAAGCGGGAGCGGTGTGTGGCACGACGGGGGTGGCGACGGGCGTAAAAACGACGGGCATAAATACCGGAGTTACCTGTGTTTTATGACGGTCCGGCCGAGGTATAGGCAGGAAGAGAGCGCGAGAATCCGAGGGAAAGCTCCGACTATCGACAGCCAGATCCTGACCGATGTCCTGGCGCAATGGATCCCCGTCTCGCTCGGAGCCGCTTTCTCTCACTCTCTTCCACCCTCTCCGCCCACCCTTTCTCACTCTCTGTCTTTTTCAAAGGACGGAAGGAGGGAGCCATATGAACAAACGTTGCAACGAGAGTTCACCGCTCTCGCAGATCCGAATCTTCGATATCTCCTTTACGGTGCGGAAGAAAAACGCGTTCGCGTATCGACCGCTGCGTAACGCACTACACACGGCGCCTCGAAATTGTTGCGTGAATCACACGCGGCTGTTTCGCGCGGGAGAACGCAAAGCGACGTCTCGTCGGGGCTGGAATTCAACGTTTACGACAACGATTAACTTATATTGCTGTCTACGGCAAAGGAAATTACGAGAGTCGCGGAGATACTTTGTTTAATCGAGACTTGTGTAACGCCAAGATTCCGCCGCGAATGACCGGATTGCGAGGGATTATTCGAGGAAACTGCCCCGAGGAATTCCGCACGGTGTGAAAATGATTTAATAAGTCGTAAAGGCCTGACGTCGTCGTCGTCATCGTCGTTGAGAAGGGTCGACAAGGTTCGTTTTCATCGGCCTTTAAAAATAGCGGCTCCTCGTGTTCGGTGAAACCGAACAGCTGTTGCAGCCGCTTGCCCTGCATCGGCGATTCTTCGCTTTGAAGCGTATCGGACTACGAGAGTCGAAAAAGTTCCCCTCACCGATTCGTTAATTCACCGAATCGTAATGAGCCACTTCATTAGCGGTGTTCGTCTGGGGAAAATCGCCGAATAACGAAGGCGAGACGAGGCATTAATTTTGAAAAAGAAAAAAGAATTGATTTCAGCCGATCGCCGATTTTATTCGGAATTCCCCGGAAAGATTCGTTCGACGAGGGCTTTAATGAACATCGATACGCCGTAAGAATAAATCTCACGTGGGAGTCGCGCGCAAAAATATATCTCGCGGGCGACGGTGTTTCGACGGACAATTCTATCAAAAGTGACGTAACTTCCAACGTTAGGAGACGTATTAACGTTTTCCGAGAACCCGAACACGCCAGTTAAATCCGCGAGAGCGGATCTCGCCGACCACCTCGGCGACGTTTTTTGCCAATTAAAAATTAAAAAATCCATCCCTCGGCCATG